GCTGCACCTGCCTCTCGAATCCGCTGGGCTTCTTCACCTTCACCTTCACCTTCGTCAAAGCTGAAGGCAGGAGCGATGGTGAGAGGTAGGTATATGAGGAGGTTGCGCTCCAGCCTCAGCAACAGCGCCCGGAATAAGTGACCGTGAATATGCCCAGTATGGTAGAACTAGTATGCCAGCTGAACACAGAGATCATGCTTATCCGACGCTGGAGCCTTTGGGTTCGAATCCCTTTTTTCATGTCTTTTTCTTTTCTTTTCGGTCATCCCGAATCAGCCTCTCTTTTTACTCAGCTCAGATGAGTCTCTTAACATTTGATCCATTCTTTTGAGATACTCGGCCACCGACATATTCGACTTCTCACTAGATCGGCACAAGCCACCAGCTCGAGTCTCACACAGCATTGACAAAGATATGGCCAATTGCCATCCGACGGGGCTTATCACAGAAATATTTACATGAATTCGTAACGTCGAATATCCCGTGCTTACCTGGGGCTATCGGCACCCGCCTTGCCCTGGAGCTCAATCGCATCAACAATGTAATTCGCACTCAAGAAGTCAACGTCACCCGTCCCCAAAACACCGAGCGTGAGGGTATTTGCTCCCTGCTTCAGCGCACTGGCTGGAACATCCCAGGCGTAAACATCGCCAAACCCACGATACGCGCCCCGAGTTACCCCTCGAGAATCGATCAAAGTCTACGCAGAGCCGTCAGCAAACCTGCAGTATCGCCACTCCTTCAACAACTTACCGGAGCACCCGGATCACTCGCCTGCCAGTCGTTAATCTTCGCCGACGGCCGTCCGCCCTTGAACGACAACGTCGTGCCCACCCGGAGAACCACCCCGTCCAGCTGGTCTCCCGCGAGGTTGAAGTCGACAGTCGCCAGGCCGCCCGCCTTCGCAAACAGCGCCATCGGAAAGTCCTTGGCCTGCGACTTGCCCACCGTGTACGTCCCTCCCCAGCTCTCCATGCGCGCGTCAGAGGGATGCATCCGCTCGATCTTGTCGCCGTTCTTCAGCTCCGTCGGCTTGCCGTCGAACTCGCCGATGCGCCAGATCACTGACGGCTTCGACTCTGTGGAGGCGATATCCTTAGTGATTTTGCAGCCGGCAGTGATGGTCACGTTGTCCTCCGCGATAGGGAACTCGTCGCGGTACAGCTTCATCGTGTACGTCCCAGGCTTCATGAGCGGCGAGGTGAATTTCCCGTTGGTTGCTTTGGTCCAGTACTGCGCGTCGCTGTTGAACCAATGAACCACCGTCTCAAAGTTGCCCGCGACGCCGGTGGCCATGCCCGAGACGCTTCCGCGCCCGCTGTCGGGGACGTAGCCGTCTATCTTGAGGGCGTCGAAGAAGCTGGTGTCCAGGTCGGCCGAGGGCTGCGCACCAGTTCTGGTCTCGGTTCAGCGGTGAGTCCCGAGAAGGGGGGAGTTCGGTATCTTACGTGAAGCGCATCGCGTAGGGGCCGAGGAGACCGAACCGCCACGGCTCCGTTCTGACGTGCCCGCTATTCATGTACCAGTACAGCTCCTGGTCGCCGGTGCTCTGCGAGTTGATGTCTCTCATGAAGGGCCCGCCGGCCGAGTGCTCGTACGCGTTGCCTGGCATGATCATCCACACGCCTACGTTCTGCGGCATGGGATTAGCTACGACCTTCTCGATTGCTTGTGCAGGCTTACGCTTCCAGTGACTCCGTGGACTTTGTCGTCGATGAATCGATCTGAGGTGTACCTATTCCATCGGTGTCAACTTACTCCAGTCCCTGAAGGCTGAAAACCACACTCACATTTTGCAACGCGTAGTGTTGTCCGTACACCGAAATGTATCCTTTCCCTCAAACGCCGTACACCCGTCAAGATCAGCGACATCACCGTGCCAGCCCGTCGGCACCGCCGCCCGCCTCAGCCGCGCAAGCCACCGCAGCTCTCCGGGCGCGATCTCGCCCGTGATGTGCGTGGCCATGTAGATGGTCGGATCGTCGGGCTTCGCAAGATAGTAGTGCGTCAGCGGCTGCGAGCCCGCCTGAACGGTGATCTTGACCACGCCGCCCACCGTCTCTGCCGTGACCGTGGAGGCGCCCAGGCCGGAGTTGATCTGCGACATCTTGGAGGTTCCCTGGTACTCGACGCCGTTGTAGAGGAGGCTTGTGATGTCGCCGTTTGCTCTGCATCTTTCTTAGCCAGCGGATCGATGGGGTAATCTTCATGAAAGGTCCTACTTGTTGACTTCAAAAACGAGCCCGCCGTTGGTGTCGACTTTGTATGTCGTGCTGTTGCCGGCTGCTAGACCAAAGGCCGCATCTGCCGCGCCCCAGAGGGACGCCAGGCTGGTGAGGAGGCTGATATAGTGCATCTCGACGCCGAATCGGAAACCTTGCGATCAGAATAAGAGTACCTTGGATCCCGTACAGGAACTACTCATCAACAGGACCGCTTCCATCTCGTACACGCATCAAGACGGACGAGATAGCCTACTTATCATCGCCTCAAAACCCAAATTCCCCCTCATCGTCGACTAGTTCTCCCGCGCGGAGAACCATCACACATTTTCCCGTCCTCTAGAATGCTCCGAAAGCTTGATTCTGGCGCGACGCGTAGTACATAGATTTGGAGCAAGATCCCCTCATTTCGTCCCAAACCTTGAGCGAGCTGCCCTTTCCCGGGAAAGTCTGCAGCGAAAGATGGCAGCGGTGGTCCGTGATGGTGTGACGTGATACGTTAGCGCGAGCTGTAGCCAGGCACAGCTGTTTACCTGTTACGGTTTGGAGACGATAAGCATTCGGCTGACGTGCCGACTGGCGAGCTTATTTTGAATGAGATAGAAAGAACGCAGAGCGGACAAAAGATCCGCGAATCACGATGTGCGGCACCTAGAATGATGGTAGCTGATTTTCATGTAGTGCAAGGGATCCTGTGAGAGTGTTACTGTGAGTGAGCTAGATGTTGTTGGTACGAGCGAAAAGGAGGGCGATGCAGTTTGCTGTGGCTAGAATGGACAAGCATTGTGGTCTTCCTGCTGCATCAAAGTCCTGATGTGTCTCTTGGCCATGGCAGATGTTGTAGATGAAGTTCGTATCTACAAAAGTGTTTCGACAGAAGTTGATTTTGTTGTTGGTCATTGCCCATCTTCCCGGTCGGGGCATTCACAAAGTATCCCACCGGGGGCCACATCACCACGTGGTAAGCGACGAGAGAAGGAGAAACACCAAAAGTGTCGGTCGTCGGGGGGATAATTGCTGCCCGGGACAGAGTGCCAAGGACGATCACCAGAGCAGAATTTCCAAGTGGCTGTTGGCTAATCGCTTGGCCATAAGATGTCCACGGGAGCCGCGGCGGCTTGTAAGGATAAGTTGAATGTAACGGGCTGGGGGGCTGTTCGCTGCAGGCCTTCGACGTTCAGACGAAGCACCTGTTCGTTCCCAGTAGATCCCAAACGCTGCAACGCGTCGCAAGGCCCAAGGCACGCCATGCTTCTCCAGAGTTGTCAACATAAGAGATCCTTCGGAGTCTCGTCCGACCGGCGCCCTCTCCCAACTCAAGGGACCGTTGAACTTCACGAAGCAGAGGCCCGCCGCAAGGCAGGGCGCGCGCACAGCCAACACCGCGGCGATCACTGACTCGTGGGGGCTTTGGTGGCATTTCCCCAGGCCCACGCTCCAGTGCCGCTCGCAATCTCAACGGGATCTCGGCCCCGTGTTCTGGCGGAAGATGCCGCTATGCATTTGAGCGAGAATTGGAAGTCTTTCAGAAAGGTGAAGGGTCAAGAGACTTCTGCTTCGGTTTCGGTGTGGGAAATATCCGAGCGCATGTTGCTGGAAGGATATTGTACGTGAACCCTTGCGAATAGACCACAGTCCAGACCCCTTCTATAAATGGGAAATCATCGAATTGTCTGTATACAACGCCGCCATCTATGGCAAGTGGCATGTAGAACAGAAGCCATTCGCCACTTACCATTCTTTGCGTTTGCTTTCGCCGGGAGTTATAAGGCGATCTATTCGGATAGGACCGAGTCCAGTCTTGGCTCCTCATGAACACGATTGCCGACGCTATCATCTGAAGAGCGGCAAAGACATTAGCAGACGGCATGAGAAACAGGTGACCACAGCCACTTAAGCCATATTGAACAGCAGAGGCACACCGTTTGATGTCCCGTCAAAAATATATTGTGCCAGGGGTCATCCCCCGTCGCTCCCCCAAACCTCCATGGCTATCCATGTCGTCAATGAGTCGTTCGCCTGCCAAAACCAGCACCGCAAGGCAATCGGCACCGTTATATCTCGCTCGCTCCTCCCTCCAAACAACATGACAATGCCAATAATTCTCGCGAAGCTACAGTATCTCTAAACAATCGAATTCACGCAACCCATTCCCCATCAACAACACATCAAAATTCACATCGTCACCATGAAGGTTACCGCCGTCCTCGCCCTCGCCTTGGCGCACGCCGCGTAAGTCCACCCGCCCAGCGCACGTCATTAACCTTAATCATTTTGGGTTTCCGTCGCTAATAGACCTGCCGCACCAGCCCGGCATTCGCTGGCTACCTCTGCGTCACCAACAGCGGCAACCCGAACCCCAGCACCAACATCTGCACCGCAGTCGGCGGAACCCCGGAGAAGAGCTACCCTGCGGCGGTAAGTCGCGATAAGTCTCGCCTTGGAGCAGGAGCGCATTTGCTAATTGACAACCGCAGTGCTGCGTTGATGACAGCAAGTTCGGCGCCTACCAGCAGGGCTGCAAGGACAACGGCGGCATCCGCGCGCAGTACACCTACATCTGCTAAAGAGCGAGCGAGTCAATGCTTTGGACTTTCGAAGGCGAGAGTGTTTTTTAGGATACCACGAGCGTAATGTGAAAGCATAATACCAAATAGAGTCTATCAGGATTATAGAGAAGATCTATCTTGAAGCCTACCTGTTAGTGATCTGTCAAACCTCTTATTGGCGGGAGACTCCTGCCTAGTAAGGCGTCCTAAGTAATATCTCTTTCCACATCTACTTATTAGACAGCCGGGTTTGATCTCTCACCAGCGCCTAGATCATCATGACGGATATAGAAACAAATAACAATCTTGTGGCACGTCGGATATCTAAGCACGGCGTGGGGATGACGGCCCAACAAGACAAAGCTCGGCCGAGAACGCGCAACACAGTCAAGAGACGTCGATGCGTACAGAAAGACGACACGCGTAAGCCATGAAGCAGCAGTTGTTCGTGAATATGCTCCCATACTAAAACCATTTAATGAGCAAACTTTTGCTTTGTTTGCAGCCATTTTCCACATTATCTACTACTGAATACTCATACGCCCTGTCTGGTTCAGGCAATCTTATACACAAGCTTCTCAGCACTTACACCACCCTCCTCCTGCAACTTGAAGCCCTTCGGAATATCTTCCAGACCACCAAACTCCTTTGGCGGGTTCGGCTTCAGATAACCATCTTCCAGCCACTTGGGGATGACCTGGAGGTACTTCTCCCAGAACTGCTTGTCGCCGCTCCTGTCGCCCTTCAGATTATCGAAAGCGCCGTACTCAAGCGGCTTTCCAAAGACGGTGTACGCCAATGTGCTCTCAACCTTGACGTACGACGGCGCCTCAACCTCGTCGGCCTTGCGGGGCAGAATGCACATGACGTGCCCGCCCTCGGACGAGATCGTCTGCACAACGGCCTTGGTGGTGTCAACCTCGCTGATGCAGTCAAATGCATACTGCAGCTTGTCGCCCGCCGCCTTCTTCACCTGCTCGATCCAGTCCGCGTCGCAATAGTCGACCGTCACGTCCGCGCCGAGGCTCTTCAACAGCTCGTGGTTCCTCTTGCTGCCGGTGGCGATGACCTTCAGGCCCGCCTTCTTGGCGAGCTGCACCGCGTAGAGCCCGACGCTGCTCGTGCCGCCGTTGATCAGGATCGGGAACGGCTGCGTGGCCGGGCTGGATGGTGGCGGCAGCGCCAGACGCTGGAAGAGGGCCTGCACGACGGTGGCGACGGCCAGCGAGACGACGGCGGCCTGGGGGTCGGTGATGCCCTCGGGGACGGGGAAGACCAGGCTGCTCTCCGTGATGAGGTACTCGGCGAAGGCGCCGCGCGGGGGGTCCGGGCTGCAGCCGAAGACCCAGCCGGCGACGCGCTGGCCCTCCTTGAACTGCGAGCCGTTGGGGTTGACGACGCTGCCGGCGAAGTCGCAGCCGATGGTGCGGCCGGCGTCTTTGGCTGAGGCGGTGGACTTCCAGTCTGTCGGGTTCTGAGCTACGTAGTGGACTTTGACGAGGATCTCGCCCGCGCCGGGTTGTGGGATGGGAATCTAGGTGGGATGTCAGTGGATGCGGGGTTGAAAGTGTGCCCGTCATGAGATGCGGCTCACCTGTTCGATCTTGGCGGTCTTTTCGCCTGTGGTAACGAGGGCCTTCATTGTTCCCGACATGGTGTTGGTTTGGTTGTGCGAATGAGCTTGATAAGTGAGAGTGTGGTGTAGACCGTTGGTCAGTCAGGTGTGTTGAGTTTCGCCCGTATGGATCGCGACTTTTATCCGGATAAAGGTTTAAAGTGGGGAGTGACGTTGAAGTGTTGTCTGAATAATTGCCTTCGCCGATGAAACGCTTACAAATCTTGCGCTGAACTGTTAGACTTCGAGGCGGTTCTGCACGGCATTCGCAGCGGGGATCTTTTGGCGTTGGATCCGCGCATAGAGTTAAGTGGTTGGACCGGGTCACCCCCACACGTCAAAGCGGACGATGAGGATGCACGAATTCAAGCTGCTGTTGATTTATAACTTCATCATCGTAAGATGTTGGAGTTGAGGATTACAAACCACGTCTTACGTCCTGGACTTAGTTCGGAAGTAAGCTGCCGATTCACCATCAGCACAACAAACACATTGCATGAACTCAGTCAGTAACAACGTCTCTGGCTTCCGATCGTCCATATCAAACAGCCAAACAAAAAGAAAACGAGCAAAATGTTCCGAAACCGAGAATCGAACTCGGGGCTATGCCTAACCTCTCAAGTGCATGAGAGGGCATCATGTTGGCCACTACACCATATCGGAGTTGACGATGCGGGTTTGCTGCGGGATCTTGCCTAACAGGCCCGCTGCGGACTGGGGCATTCGCGGGGTCACTTCGAAACGCAGTCGGGCCAACATCAAAACGCCTTGATCATACCTACGAATGAGTTGCTATAGGTGTATCATGTTAACAGACGTGCTGCAAAAGTCGCTGAACTGTAATGATCATGGATTGAAGCTGCAGACTACCTAGATGCACTCGTATGAAGCAGCATCGTCAGGATCGGTTCCAGTAAAGGTCAGGACCTTGGGATACATGCACAAGTTCACCGTACGAGTCTCGCTGGAGTTGCCGACCGCAGTTCCCTGGCCAGTCAAAGTCTCTGGCGCCGTGCCATTCTCAACCCACGCGCGCAACGCGTCGAAGACGTAGTCGCTCGGGTCAAACCCAGCGCCGCCACCGCAGTGAGAGACACCCGGAGCAGGGAAGAACCGATAGTAATCCTCGACGTTCGCATCCCAGGCCTTGACGCGCTCGTAGTAGTCCACCGTGCCGTTGTACGGGATAAGGGGGTCCTGCATGCCGTGCCAGGTGATCATCTTCGTCCCGCGCTTCTTGAAGTCCGTAAGGTCAACGTTGTCGGTGCCGATGGAGGAGGTGTACTCGTCCACGGAGATGCGGTGCAGTCTGTCGAACCGCTCTTGGGTGATGCCGGAGCTCTCGATGCTCCAGGTGGAGTTCCTCTCGAGGAAGACGCCAAACCAGTCGTTCGTGGCGGAGAAGGGCGTGTAAGTGCAGTTGTCGACCGATGTGCAGGTCGGACTGAAGACGGCCGTCAGAGGAGCATCCTGAGTAAAACCGTACCATTGGAAGACGCCCTCAGCGCTGCGGGGTCCCTCCCAGAATCCGTGCACGAACTGCGCAGTCTTCTCATCGATGGTGATCGTCGCGTTGGGGTTGGTGCATGCGACGGTCTGGCCGATGAGAGAAGAAGCGTTGAAGTTGCAGGACCCAGGCAGAGAAATGATGCTGTCCTTGACGCCGTCGAGTTCGTCGCATGCCTCGATAGCAGCGTCCGTGAAGGCGTTAAGGACGCAGGATGGGGGGATCACGTCTGTAATCATGTCAGTCAACTCTTCCTCTTCCAATTGGTGACGCAAAGCTTACCCAGCAACTCAGATAAGAAGGCCGGGTACATGGACGCAGTCTGGAACTTCTGCCAGTTAAACGCCGAAGCCGAGGCCAGGATGCCGTCAAAGTGCTCAGGGAACCTCTGCGCCATCATGTGGCCCTGTCGTCCTCCGGTTGAACACCCATTCCAGTACGAGTAGGACGGATCCTTGCCGTAGTACATCTGCGTGGCAGCCTTGCCCAACTTCGCAGCTTCATCGAGGGCCACAGACGCAAAGTCGTTCAGCGCCGGCCAGTTGGTGTTACCCTCACTGACAAGGCCCCATTCCGCTGTCGTAGTCGTAGAGTTGTGCCCTCCATCGGTTGACGAGCTCGAGTAGCCAGACGCCACGGGGCCGATGATGACGCCCGATCCGCCAGCAACCCATCCGCCACCTCCGCCCATCATGAACCGGGAGTTCCAGTTCGCGGCGTCAAGAGGAAGTCCGATGTAAGTGTTGACGTTGTCGTTCTGTCCGGGGTGGGTGTACTGGATAGCGATCTGGCAGAGATCCACGCCGGAGGCCGTCTCTCCCGTCGGAGCCGAGATGATGCCCACACCAACGCCGGTTCCCGCGTCTTGGCCGGAGGCCAGGGACTGGTTGCGCAGAGCAGTAACATTGAGAGAGATGATCTCAATGTTGCTCAGCGTCAGTGAGGCGAAGGTCGCGGAAGTGCAAGCGCTGGAGTTCGTGGCAGCGGCGACGGCTGTCGCCGCGCCGAGGACCGAGAGAGTGCGTGCCGAACGGGCTGCCATGGTCATTTGCTGAGGCTGGTTGACTTGGAGAGAGTGTGCGCCGACAACATCACAACAGATAGTTCTCACCAGACTCACCGGCTGCGATCCCTGACTTATAAAGCCCCTTTTCACACATCGGGGCCAGGTACGACGTCCTCGGACCAAGTACGAAAAAGAAGCCCCCAAAGCCAAGGCATGACTACGTAAACAAACCTGCTCCCCAGCCGCCAAAACGCACTCTTTTCCATGTCTGCAATCTCCGAATGCTGCAGTAGCCGTCCAATTCCCCGCTTCGCTTATTCAATCCGAACTCCTTGGTTAGTCCGGTTCGTCCGTACCTGCCTTTCGTGTAACGGCGGCCCAACAGCTTGGCCTTCTTCGGCGTGCGAGCTGCAGCTGCGCAAGCCGAAGCGATTGCCGATGTGGGTGAGATCCCTGCTGCATACGACGATCTCTGTTTGTCCCACCCCCACATTCAGTTGCCGGACGAAGAGCCGGCACCGTCTGGGTATTGAATATTGGTTTTCAAGGCCGGAAGAACGTCAATTGACGCCGGATTTTGTATTCCATTTGAGAGTGTTGAACATTGAACAGGAGGGGCTGGTGTGTTTGTCACTTAGTGAACCAGTCAATGTCATCTGATGATGTCTTTCTTCACCGCTTGCTCGGTTTGGCCCCACACACGACAGCCCGAAAGTCTCGAGGCTTTAGACGAACCCTTGGCCTATGCGTGGTCCTGGGCAACTTTTTGAGAGCCCGAAGACAACATGTAGAAGCCATGTCGAGCCATGAGCCGCGAACTCTTTCATGATTGAAATGCAAGGACCGTCGTGTATTGAGATTTATCATGTGTTGTCTGTCGTGTTCTCCCCCACAGAGCATGCCATTCACTCGTCTGGTAATCAGTTAGCTAACACCGTTCAACTAGTACTAGATAGGATTATTACAGGCAGAGATAAAAAAACACCTACACGCAAGCACCCGCATATCCTTGTTCAGTAAGTAATTGAAAGAGAGTGGGAAAAGAGCCTATCATCCATCACAAACAAAAATATAATTTCAACCACGAAGGAAGCAAAATATTTGGACACTGTGGGAATTGAACCCACGACCTTTCACAAAGGCGCAACTCAATCAACACTGGAACACATCGTGAACTCAGCGTTAGCTGGAAGGTGCGAAGCGAAAATCATACCCCTAGACCAAGCGCCCGTTTGCTGATGACTAAGGTCAACTGCAAGAGGCCTAAGAACCAACGCGATGCTGAGGAAAGTGTTCGGTTAGGCAATCACGGCTTCCAGAAGTTGTTGTCGATGGAGTGGAAAGGTGGGATACGTGCTGACTTCCGATGTTTGAACTTATTCAACTGGAAGGCGCGCAAAAACAAACCTCGAACCGAGTGCGAAGAGGAACGGCCAGGGAAATGAAGGGCCCTTGCTTAGCGGCGAGTCATCTTTACAGGGCTCTGTGATGAGGTCCCAGTCCGTCCCTCAGGGGTCGTGGCCAAGAACCCTTTATTTCCGCGCCATCGCCCCATCCTGTCAGATTGCACCAATGCAGCCTGAATGCCGGAAGCACGGAAATTGAAACATGGCATTCTTGGATGCGACGAAATCCCATCTGTGTTGGTCTAGACTTTAGCACGACAACTTCCATCACGACCTCGGCACCATTGAGTCCGACACGGAGAACTGGTGAAGGTGCATGAGGCAGAAAGCGTCGCTGCTTTATCACACCTTGATTGACGAATGATGGACCTACCTACAAATACTCTGCAGTATTTACTCATCGCAATGCGCAAACTTCGCTTTCAAAAACAACATCTAGTTTCTGGAATGTAAGCGGCTGCGGACTGTGCCCAACTGTCTCGGAGTTGTTTTCCTCCACAATATCAGACTGTGTATCATTCCAATGAAGCCCGTTCGAAAATCTAAACATTTTAACCATCACATACATCAACTGCGTTGACCCTTCTCTCTTTCATGGATGCTCTCGCGTGACCAGACTCAATCACTGCAACAGCCTGTAGACCCACGATGTCCTACCGCGGCCCGCAGAAGAATCCATTGATTGTCCTCGCCGACGGCTCATGGAGCGGCCGAGATGTCGGATCAGAATCCAACCTCTACCTCCTCGCAAACCTGATATGGGAAGGGCGTGGGCTGCCAAAGGACGATGACCGGGCACATCTTCACCCCTTGGGAAAGATTCACTACACCAATAGCGTTCCGCCTGGTAGCACATTCATGGAGTGAGTATTTCCAAGCAAAAAGCCCATGAAGAGATGCATGTTTACTGACTCCTTCATCGCACTAGTCATGTATTTCACGGGTTGAACGTTCAAGATATCGAGCAGCAATGCGTCGACACATATGAGTACCTTGTTCGGGGCTTCACCCCCCTCGAGACCGAGATCTGGATGTTCGGCGCATCCCGCGGTACATACATCGTCCGCTCCGTAGCGGGCATGATCAACAACTGCGGCATCGTCAAGCCGCTATACCAAGCGAATGGTGATGTTGACGAGGAAAAGACACATCAGCTCTGCGAGGAAGTCTACCGCATCTATCGCGATCCGTCTGACGCGACTGCGCCAAAGTCAGAGCAGTCGATACAGTTCAGATGGATGTACAGCTGGCCCCTCATTGGAGACGGCGAGGTCATCGACGCACCGATTCGGTTCATGGGCATCTTCGACACAGTCGGTGAGCGTGGCATCCCCGAGTTCGCCGAGGGCGTGAGCGCCGATTGGCCGAAGTTCTACGACCAGCACGTCTCGAGTGTCGTTTCCGACGTCTACCACGCCGTATCTCTCCATGACCGACTCTACGCCTTCCAGCCGTGCCTCATCTCCCGAGACACGGAATACGGACCGTCATACGGCATCACCGAGCGCTGGTTCCCTGGCACACACTACGACGTCACTCGCCAGCAGTTCAAGCTTGTCAGGGATTTTCTGCCTCAGCGGCTGCAAGCCCTTCTTCCTGCCTGGGCATGGACAAGTCAAACGATCAAGCCGAACGAAGTACTCGCAGATCTCGTGCTGAAGTGGATGTTGGAGTGTGTCGGCGAGCACGACCCGTCAGGCTTCGTTATCCCCAAGCAGCACCTGTATGGAGAGCTGGATAGACTCAAGCACAACATCTTCACGACCAAGAATACTGGCGACGGTGACGTCTACGAGCGGATTGTCCAATTCGCTCCCTTCGGACGCTACGTCGACCTGGCCTTGTCTACGGTCTTTGGCAAGTGGCAACAAAGTCAGGTGTACCAGCTGCTCTTTGCATGCAGGCCAAGGCAGATCCCCGAGACGAACTCTTCAGTGTACAACTACCGTGCCCCTGATCCTGATCTGGACGGCAGGATTGTCCAAAAGCTGGCGAAGCTGCCTGGCAGCACGCTGAATCCTGCCAACGAAGGCAAGGTGGATACCCGGTATCCTTCCTCGACCTATGACGGATGGGTGCTGAGACGATCGTAATATGGCATGTCTTCCTCTTATTGTTGGCATGTTGCATGGGTGAAGGGGTAGTGTACGATATAGGCGTTTTGGGGGCGCATATGATAGAGCCGACGACTTGCGTTCTTGCAGTAATTTCTAATAATATTCACCAAAACTTTTACCAGACCAGCTTTCAAAAAGAGAAGAAAAGCAGACCATTGATTCTGACTGGGCCACGTTCAAGCTCAGGTCGGATGGCTAATCGAAAATCATCTCATCATGAGACGAAGGAGCTCGTCTCACTTCCAGGTTCTCAATAAGGCTTACTCACGATCCACTGCGACAGAAACGGTTCTAATTTCTCACTGCATTTCATTCTCAAATGTGAAAGAATCGTCTATCCCTAGACGTTCCTATTCTTCGATTTTGGCCCCCTGATCAGGCTCATCGTGATTAAACAGACGTCATCAAAGACGCAGTTGCAGTGCTGCGGGCTGAAAATAGGTGCAGTGGCTGAGCACAGGGCGAACATCTGAGTTCAGGCACCGGCATTCCGCAAATGCGGTGTTGCTCTGCAGGGTTCACAGAGTTACACACAACGGAGCCGCTGTTGGGTGTGAATCCGATCCGACCAACGGGATGAGGCTGATCGTCGGAAGGATTCTTTCCGCCCCTGTGCCGTGCCGGGCCTCGGGGGCGCAAATTTTCTTCGAAATAAGAAGCTTTTTTTTCAGCTTGGCTAAGCGCCCAAGATCTGCCTTCTCAGAGTTGCAGTAGAACTGCCCAATTGATCGTGGCTGCCTGCAACAGGGCGGGTGCGGGGTGCCGATCAGGCCCGCGAAGCTCTGCCAGCCAATTAAGAGTTTTGGGGTCGATGGATTTGGCGAAAACCGACGGTCCTGCAGCTGAGATCCTTTCGTGTAACTGTCCAGCCGCATTCTAGGGGACGTTGCTTGGTGGTACTATTTCCGTGACCGATTCGCTTTGCTCAACACTCATGATGCCGGAGAAAAGAGTATATGGAGGCCTTCAAGTTCTAAGAAGAGAGCCTCTTTCATCCAGCATCAACCACAACAATCTCATCAACTCAGCAGAATATCAACCACCACCCTCACAAACACAAGTCCTCTCAATCATTCAAATCTTCAGATAATCCCTCCCTCCAACATCATGCATTTCACCAACGTTCTCAACATCGTCCTCACCCTCGGCGCTGCCGCAGGAGCCTCTGCCGCAGCGGTTGCTCCTCGTGCCAACCGCAAGGCCAACGAGTTCTCCAGCGGCACCTGGTAATGCAAACTTCACCATCATAACAGTTACACATACTAACCCGCTCAATATTGCCCAAGGAACCGCTTCTTATGAGCATGAGAGCAACTTCAACGTCGACGTCACGATGGACGACACTAGCCACTCCGTCTACTTCGCCTCCGGCCCGTGGTACTTCTTCGATGGCAAGACCGGCAACGGCGGTGGCTGCACCGGCAACCTGCTGGGAAGATGGAACAACGACAACGACCATCCGTGTGTGAACTTGGACGGCAGAGATGGTGACAACCGCCGTATCCAGTGTGTCAGATGGGGTTCTGCCGAGAGAAACTAAATTTTCGGTGGACTTCAGACACACCACATGCATACAACGGAGCACATGTTTTGGGTGCACATACACTCGCTTAAGTTTGGTCCAGGGAGATTGCATTAGCCTTGATAGAACATAAGAAACGCTTTGATTTTCGACAGGAACCATTAGTGTGATTCAACTGAAAGCAACGCTTGCATGGCTAACAATGAGAAAGACGGATGCGGCCCTCCTTGCGTCTCCACGGCGTAACCAGGCTCTTTGCCCAGTCCCAAGTGTGAATAGCAACGCTCATCGTTCCGAACATGAACATGGGTATCAACGTATTAGCGAAAAAGTACAACAATCCACCGGACTGGCTGACAATGCCAAACAGTTCTCCGCGCATGATGCGCAACGACTCTTCTTCGTTCTTCCAGGGACCGACAAGACGGAACTTGGCGTTAAAGTTGCTGCCCATGGCCCAAGTGTAAGCGGCGCGGAAGCCCTGGGGCAGGATGTAGCTGAAGCGCGGTGCCGAGCCGATGTCGAGCGCCAGCTGATAGACGTAGCTCTCGTGGTCGACGCCGCGCTTCTCGGCCCATGGGTCGCGGCCGCAGCGGGGGTGTAGCTTCCAATCGATATCGTAGCCGGGTAGAGCGTTGGGGTCTAGAGGCAGGCCGTTCGGTGATGGGTTAAGACCGGGGACGGTGGGGTATCTTGACTGTAGGAGACGCAGGATCCAGAACTGAGTTTGCATTTCGGCGAGGGTAGGGATGGCACCTATTTGAGGTGAGCAAGACATGCTAGCAGTTTCGTTTACCGATACAGACTTACCAAGGTTAGGCCGGACAAATCCGATGAATCCCGTCGTAACATCATGGCTGTGATAAACAGCTCGTACATCCGCCGAGTCCGGTGTGCCGTAGCTCTCGTCAAGGAAGGGGAAGCGTCGCGTGTATCCCGTTGCGAAGATGACCAAGTCCGGCTTCACAGTAATTCCCTTCATTCTCTCGGCTTCCGGCCGTCCATTGTCCATGAAGTGCATCACGCCATCGTCGTCGACATAGTCGGGCCAGGGGGCTACGTCGATATAGCGACCCTTGGGATCGATGTCAAACTCCTTGATGTAGAAGAAGAATCTGCGAAGGCGTTCTCGGAGGGAAAGTGGCTTGCGCCAAGGAGCTGAGATGTACGGGATGGCTCGGGCAGACTTGGCAGGGAAGACTGTGTATCATGTTAGTTCAGCACATCAGTCACTTTGATGTTGGTCAGCTTACAATGGTCGATGTGCATCCTTTCGCGGCGCATACCGCCAACCAGCTGGTCCCATCCTTCCAACGTGCCGCCAATTAGAGAAAATGTAACGTCGATCTGTTGGTTGTAAAAGTCCCAAAGAAATTGGCTCGCTTGCAGCCGAGGAGGGACGTATGCTGTATCGAATAAACTGGCAATAGAGCAGTCGACTGGCTTCTCCTTGATCTTCTGACCCTTGCCCCAGAAACCAAACATGACCGGTGCAGGAGCAGTCTATGTGGAAGTTAGCATCTGACAACATTTTCTCCTGTCACGTCTGGTCGCATACCTTTGGGGCCACGATAAAGCCATCGCGATGGCACATGACAACGTGCTTAATATTTTCTGTCGTCACAGTGATCTCTCCAAGGTCCTGAGCGGTCTCTCCAGTGCCGACGATCACTACAGTGGGCTTCTCGCTCTTGATGGCTCGGAGTTGGTCCCGAGTCTTGAATTCTGAGGAGTGGAGAACTTTTGGCACTCTCTCGAGTCCTTTCACAGGCGGAATTCGGGGCTCGACGTTGAGGCCGGAGCAGACAGCGACGGCGTCGCACTCGTATTCGAATGTGGTGCCATCGGAACGGGATACTGTGACAACGTGCCCTCCGGCTTTCCTTCGACGAACGCGGGTTACCGGAGATGAGAGCTCGATGTGCTGTCTGAGTTGAAAACGGTCGCAGTACTCGTTCAGATACTCTACATAGCGCTCCGGAGTAAGATAGTCCGGGGCGTCTGGTGGTAAGCGATGATCAGAGAAGGCGGTCAGATATTTGGACGACACAAGCTATCAATGATCGTGTCAGCGTCATCAACACTACCAAGTACAGGACGTCAAATAGACTTCAAGCCTCAAATCGTTGGGCTTACCTCGGCAGCTTCATACACACGATACTTGAATGTTCCTCCAATATCATCCTCTTTCTCGAATACGCGAACCTCAATGGGCTCAATGGCGAAGAACTGATGCGCCCACTTGAGGTACCGCGTCGTCGTTAGACCCGCAGGTCCGGCACCGATGACAGCGACTCTGAGCGGCATTCTTAGCGCGTATGTGGTTCGCGACTCTGAACGCGGCCGTCTAGCAGGGTCCTTCGATGTTATGAAACATCAATCGGGGCGCAAACCCTTTAACCGCCACGAGGCACGAACGAAGCAACGAAAAGGGCGCAGATGGGAACGGGCAGTTTGGGGGAGGTGGGAAAATTCCGCTGATGGGATGACGGGGGAAAACGGCGGAGTCTTATGGCTGTCATAGGCTCTTTCTTAGCTCGCACAGACGATGAGCTACGGGATGGCGGCGCTTTGGATTGCCTACCAAGAGCGAAAAAGGCGCGAGGAGGAGGGTGCCAGGTAGGGTCTGGTCTGGTCTGGTCTGGTCTCTGGATGTTCTTCCCTATCGCCGCGGCGTGGCCCGTCAGGGACTGAGGGACTTCAGGAGAAACCCCTACTCAGCCCAGCCCAGTCCAGACGAGGACGAGGAAGAGGAAGAGGAAGAGGAATAAGACCGGGCCTAACACCGAGCTAATGGATCGGGTCCCATACGTGCGTACTCGCGAACCCAGCCCGCTGGACGGACCCTCCAACCCCCCTGGGCGAACCCAATTGTGAGGTTCGGCTGCGGTGGGTTGACCTTGCCAAGTGTGCAGTAGCGCGACGTCGCAACGAGGGCGTTCCTTGTTCTCGTCATGAGACCCTCGGGTCGCAAGCGGGGTAGGCAATATCTCCAGCGGGGACCGCCCCGCGGCAAGGGATCGGCCTTTTGGGTTATTTATCGATTGTCTTAGATTGGCCGAGGATGTCGTTTTTCAGTCTTCGGGAACGTGATGTGGGACCTGCGCAATCACGGTACTTGAGCGCGAATCCATCAGCGTAGCATCATATGAGCCATTCTATCGGTACGAGCGGGTCGGTGGCATTCGGTCTGGGCCCGGCGTTGCTGTGTCTTGGATTCTATGAGACGGAGAGACAAAGACTGCCGCTACGCGGCGCCACGGCGCGGCCAAAGTCGTGACTGAGACAAAGCAAACGGCGTCATGCCCCGGTGTTTCCGGACTTCTCGTCCGGTGGGCTTGAGACTATTTAATGCTTTGGTCCAGTGGTTGGTTGCCACACCCGTGCCGGTTCCGAGCTTAATCGTCCGTTGTCTTGCAGAGCTAGAAACAGCCCATGTCTACGGACGTACCACTCTGTCGGTTCGAAGACAAAATTCTGTCACATTTCTGAATTCATGCTTTGCTGACGAAGCGAGTGAAGAATCCCGGACAAGTGTTGTCTGACCGCCACTTTCACCCCGAAACTTGATATCCTCGACCGGGACCGGACGATTGCAGGCTCGGTGAGCAGAACATCTCCACTTCCGCTCAAACTTGGGAGGTCTCGGCGTCGTAGCACCAGTCAGGTAAATTACGTCCTGTTTGCGACTTTCCCTCAATCGTCGTTTCGTACATATCCGTTCTCCATCGTATGATGAATATTCAGCGACAAAACTCCACCACTTTTCTTGTTTCCCTGCAACGGCCAATGATGTATCACTTTCGTCCCAGATCCTTGCTCTCATCGCCATGTGCAATTCGTCGGCCACGTTTCGATTGCGGATAGTCCCGCTTGTCGCACCGCAGAACGCGCATGAAATGGCCGTGTTCGATTCTGTTTCTAGAACTGAACGACTCGCATCCCAAGGGACGTTCCTCTTTTCCGTCTCTAAATCATTTTTCAACTCGTCTTGACCTGAATCGATGACACAACTCTGACCATTCACATGCATCGGCAGCAAAACAACTTCTGACACGTTGAGTGGCGAATGCTGGGGACGGTCGGGCACGGGGTCTTGGCCTCCCCGATACGCAGATCCTTGACTATATTCGGACAAACGTCTCCCTCATTACTTGCGTGGATCTTACTTATGCACATCACGAAGACGAACATGAGTTCTGCGAGGAATACTTATCATTACATCGCTAGGTTAAGACCAGCCAATCTAAGACCAACACGTTTGGTGGATGAAATCTATCACATCGAACTTCATGACTTTGACAAATGGAATAACATTTACCAATGCATTAAGACATGGTCTCCAGAACTTCCCTGTAGACTTTCTGTCAGTTTTCAGCTTGTGCATTGTTGAAGTGGTGGGTAGTCCGGTGGCTGCATCTGATCCCCGGTTGAATTGCAACTGCCGCCATCAACCTAGCCAGTCAACCAACGTCTCTGAACTTGAAGCGGCAGAAAGAGAGCTCTCGCTGAAGCAACCAACCAGCCAACGTCGGCTGTCAGGCCAGAAATGGACTATTCACCGAGTTGAAACAATAGTCCCTACCACGGGGATGCAAGCCCAGCCTGTCTTTTGTCTCTGTTGGTGCTCTTGATTATGCAGCTAATGCAACCTTCAACCTTCCCTCCGAGTCCACAGTGTTATCGCCTCACATGATCCAAGGCCCGGCGTTTCAATGCCGATGAAGCGCATGCATGAAGACAACGTTCAGGCTATTAAAAAGACGCAACGTGCTTTAAAAATTCTGTATTTGTAGAACGCGGTTATGTCAATTCAAAGATATTAGAGTACAAGAAAATCAGAACCGCGACTGACACCTAGCAAGAACTTCAAGTCGAAGAGATAACCCGAGTTGTGCAGTGCAAGGCGAAACGAGTGCGGGCATTCCTCCACACACCAACTTCGCACGATGCAAGAGTGCAGTCACGATGTCAACCCCATTGAGCGATTTTGCACCTCATGCCTCAGCATTGACAGTGCCATCACATCGTCGTCCTCCTGCTTCTTATCCTCTTCATCCGCTTGCTTGCTTCCTTTTGCCTCGTACTTCATGGGTGGCAGAAACGTCCATGGCCGAAGATCCCTGTTATCGCTGTCAAGGGGCTCCGGCATGTATTTGACGTAAAATGGAACTCTAAGTTCAGCAATCCTAGCGTCTTCGCGCCAGGCATCGTCGTGGAACATGTTGTGGGCGTTTTCCTTCAGGAAGATGAAGTGGGCACCCAATGGGACAGTGGTGCGAGGTAAGGGGTCCAGCCAATAGTCTGACAAGTCGACGTGGGACCATGTTTTATGGGCCTCAGAAGAGCCCATCCTGAAGACCATCAAAGAAAACATTGACTTGCGCCAGTGATTGAAGAAATGGTGCCACTGGAGGTTGGAGCGATAGTACACTAACCACTGGTCCCAGCTGTTGCCTCCTTGCCACGAGTCCGGCAGGTAGCCATGATTGGAGAGTTGAATCTTGTTACCGTCAACATCCTCAACGCAGGTGGGCTCTGTTGTTGCCTCTCCTGGAGCGATCGTACAGTACGCCACAGACAGCAGCACACAATCGTCCAGGTAGAGCTCCTTGAGGTCTCCCTTCCCGAGAGATGCAATCCAGTCGATCTGCCACTCATGACTGAAGCAGAACCTCGACAAAGAAAGAGTTCGTAGCTGTGGAAGACCTGGATCCGGCGCAGCACCAATAGTGCGAAAGTCGAATTTGGGAGCATAGCCCCACAACTCGTCGTGGTGAAGAGACAGAACAGTGAGGTTGCGGGCGGCAGACGGGGTGAACCACTCTGGCAGGACCTTCAAGACCAAAGCGAATCGATCTCTCGTGGAGTAGACTGCAGGCTCCTGCCACTCGTCGTCTTCTCGGGGCTCAACCCTGTTGGGCGTAACCATCAATTTGAGCTTCTTGAAACTAGGAAGACTTGCGACCTCTCGGAAGGCCCACCAGTGTTCCTCAGCTGCTGCATCGCTCCGCTCACCCTGGGTTGTACCCATCTCGCAAAGATTCGTGATTGAGAGCTCTTCCAATGGAATGGAAGACCGGCATTCCTTCAGGAAATCCCAGTGATCAGGGTCTTGAATCCCGAGATACAACAATGTCTTTATGAGAGGAGGTGGGAGAGTGATCAAGAAACAGTCCGAAGGCACAACCTGTCTGCCTACAATGCAGTGAAATGCGGCAAACAGCACCCATTTTCGGAAGAAGTACATGGTATCGGAATCCTCTGTTATGTATTTGCGCCCATTCGGTGTAAAAGCGTCCAAATAACGCCTGAATACCAGGTTCAAGGCTCTCAGATTCGTGAAGAGTCTGATCGACGGCAGAGCTGCAAGAAAACCTCCAGGTCGATACACGTCAGGCGGACCATTGTTCAAAACAATGCCGTCTCGTGCATCGCATGTGATTTGTCGAACATGGCATCTGAGTGCCGGCGTCGACGCGATTCTCTGGAATTGTCTTGCGTTTGTCTCGCTCAGTCGCACATGTTTGAAAGCTTCGGAAGTAGCTGGAGCGTAGAAGGTTTTGCTCAGCAATCGTGCTATGAGCTGAGTCGACTGTGGTGCATGTGAGATGATGCGGTAAATGAGCTCTGGCGGAATCGTCGAGAGCTGGGGGCGGGCTTTCTCCATGCTTGCGGTCTACACGCGCAACGCGAGGAATTGTGGTTGGACGCGTTGATGTGTTGCAACGTAACGCGACATAAGCTGTTGACTGCAGCTGATTGAAGGGGTAATGTATTTGTAAGACTCCGAGGGGCAAAAGTAAAGCCGCGTTCCACGCGAGCGAGCATGCGGGTCGCCGAGAAAAGAAGCAATTCTCTCGCCTCACGTGATGATAGTGTGATTTGGTCATCATAACACGCCCAGGGCGATCTTTGAAGGTGTTCCAATACAATGGTTCCGTAGGGCACAACAACAGGGGGGAAGACTATATGTTGCCGTTGTTCAGTTTAACATAGATGCTAACCCAGGTGTGCATAGCAAGTCGACTTGGTCGATATTACTAGATGTAATGAAGTTTCACCACTCCTTAACAACAATGTAGTTCGATTAAATCAATGAAATTGATCAAAACATTTGCGACAACTTCCCGTCATCTTCAAGACGTTGCTCTGGTCCGAATAGTTTCAAGCAACATTTCGTAAGCTTTCTTATCCTCCTTCACTGTGTTTGGCTCTTCAGCTTCCATGCCCGTGGACATCATGCTTCGCATCTCATCTGAATAAGTCTGTGTCCACGGGTAATGATCCATGTCGCCGTCGAACTTGGTATAACACAAGATTGGGTCGCTGATTAGCCACGGATGTTGTGAAGCACAATTCACCAACATTCCAACCCCGTGTTTGAACTGCGGCGTCTCGGGCCGATTTCTCTTCTTGTAGTAGTTGTCATCAGACCCGGGCTCGCTATTATCAAAGGGAGGGTAAGGTGCATTGTAGTTGAGAAAGGCCCTTTGACCGTGCCGAAGGAAGCGTGGATCTCGGCGATGGTCGCTCCTAATGGGTAGCTGATCCGGGTAGTTGGCCTCAACGACTGATCGAAGGCAGCTATCGTCATGATCTCCGCAACCCATGATGAAGACCTTAAGTGCAGGCATGTTTTGACGCCATGAGTTGAGAATGTGATTCCAACGCAACTTGTAGCGCACTCGATCTGACCCAGTCCTTGTCACAATAGATTCGATGTCCGGGAACTCAGAGTTGTCGACCTGTATCGCCTGACCTGAAGGATCTTGTCCGATAGTTCTCTGGCCAGACTGTAGTTGCACCTTGCGAGCCTCGGTGAGGACATTGCAATTGTCAAGATACATCTCTTCCAGGCCGCTGCCTCCGTAACCCTTGCCCAGCGAAGCAATCCAATCGACTTGCCAAGTCTGCGTGAAGGCAAACCCGCCCAATGCTAACACTCGAAGGTTGGGCAAGCCTGCATTGAGCGGAGACTTGCCTTGACAGTTGATGCGTCGGAGATCTAGAGGCGGGTACCAGCCGAAGTTATCTGGACCATAGAGTGATAGCACTCTCAAGTTGTCTGCAATGGTGGGGCAAAGGAGGGTTTTAGGCAGGAAGTGAAGCATTGGAGAGGCCGAACGGAACATGTCCGTGGCAGACTTGCCGTAACAACCCGCCCGGGAGGAGACCAAAAGCTTCAATTTATTTAACGATTTCAAGGAGGCAATCTTCTTGAACGCAGCAGTGTTGAAGGTGCCCAAGTCATCGCTGTGGGCGAGACCTCCGATGCTGAGCGTCTCTAGAGGAAGGGCGGGGCCAAGAAGAGTCTCCCAGGATTGCCACAGGGGGTCCTGCAGTAGCTTTGCGTCGGGCGGACGATTTCGCGGCTTAGGATTCTTCTTTTTCTTGCCGAACTCCATCTCTATCATTTCTTGAAGATCGCCATCATCGATGTCGACTAGATCCGGTCGGGCAGGTTCCGCGTCCGGAGGAACCCATTCGACATCCACGTCCTCGTCTTCAGGCATCTTCTGTTGAGTAATGAAATCCAACAAATTAGCATGCTCTCGTTCCGTCCACTCTCCAGCTATGCAGAAGAAAAGTGCGTCGAGAAGGGCGCCTCTCAGGTCGATTGCCGCGGCTGGGTCTCCAAAATCGGCAGCGACCTGCCAGTTGAAATTGAAATTGGCGATTCCGAGGTAGAAAGACTTCAGGTTCCGGAAGCTTCTAATGTATGGCAAGACCGCGAGCATTCTCCATGGGTAGTGCTGGGCGCAGCACTCAGCTTCTTCGATCCAGCCGACGAGCTCAACCTCTTCCACAAAGGCACTAAGCTTGGGGCTTCTGGATACGCACACCAGTCGATCGCAGTCCCATTTTGATCCGAGGAATAGGTATCGGAAGGCCAAGGGTGTGGCGAGGGAGTTGAAGTTCCTGTTGACCAGTCGTGCAGAGAGAAGGGTGGATTGAGACGCAAAACACAAAATTTCCCTGAGTATCTCGGGCGGAATCGACGGGATTCTCAAGGGATTTTTCGCTGTCGCACCAGCCATTTTGGGAGGCATGACCAAACTTCGCGTGTGAGTGCTGGGTCTATAACACATTCAACGGCATCGGATACTGTCAGAGGTGATGATGATGGTGTGTGAAAATGCGACGACGCGACCGAAATCTCCTGAGCGCTAGCGGAAATTGGCAGCCAGTGCACGTGTTGGCGTGGGGACAGCTTAGGTAGGTCCTCCCGAGGGTGCCAAGCAGCCTCAGGTGGGTGCCGAATACTGGAAACATCAACTGCTATTGAAGGTGTTCTCCAGGTATTCTTTCCAAGCAAAAGGCTTCTCAAAGGGCAAATGGCGAGGCTCAAATTTCTTCAACATTTCTACGAAGTCCCTCGGCGCTCAGGCTCATTGCGCTTTGCAGCTTGATTTAAAGAGTGCGCCTCTGATGCTTGACTTGATAGGTTGACAGACATCAATCACACTGAGTCGACTCACTCGTCATCTTCTGAGGTACGCTGCGACACAGAACACAGTTGTAGCCGGCTTCAAATGCCCAAATCTTGCATCAAGAGCCAATCATTGGGCAGCTGGAATACGATCGCGGGTTAGCGCTTTGAGGCCTTGAAAGTCCCTTGCACGCGTGGAGCAGCCGCTAAGACTGTTTGGGAACCATTCTGCGCGAGAGGTTCATCGCATCGGACGCTGAAGTCTCAAATCGTTACCAGCTTTTCATGACCAAGGCAACCTTCTCAATCCTACCGAGCCCGTGATCGCGTTCATATGATGCTAATGATGCATTCGATTCCAATTTTAGGAGGCATTCTCCACCTTGCAGATAATGCACTCTCTCTCACAGAAATACTTAAGTGGTGCTAATTCCCCCAAGTCAAGAGACATCTCAAGCAACATCCCAAGAAGCCAATTTGTCTTCTGTCAACGCATCCTCAAATCAAACTGTACGATTCAAATTTCTTCCGTCTTAAATGATGCCCGAGAACAGAGCAGCATGGCTCATGGCCAAGAAGGTCAAGCCTCTCTCAGTCGCCCCAGCCCCTTACACGCCCCCAGGCCAAGATGAAATCGTCATCCGCAACCGCGCCGTCGCCATCAACCCGGTTGATTGCTTCAAGCAAGAAGCTGGAGACATCTTATATGGCTGGGTTAAATACCCGTGCATTTTGGGCAATGATGTCGCCGGTGAAGTTGTCGAGATCGGCCCCGGCGCCGGTGCCAAGCGCTTCAAGATCGGCGACCGCGTTCTCGGACATGCCGTCGGCTTGGATAAACGCAGCAACAAGGCCTCAGAGGGTGGTTTTCAGGAGTATATTGTCTTGAGAACCAAGCTCACGACCCCAATCCCGGAATCCATGACCTTTGAAGAGGCGTGTGTCATCCCTCTCGGGGCATCGACAGCTGCCTGCGGACTCTTTATGAAAGATTTCTTGGGTCTGCAGTACCCTAACGTCAACTCGAAACCCAACGGAGAAACCCTGCTGGTCTGGGGTGGATCTACCAGCGTCGGCTGCAACGCCATACAGCTCGCCATTGGGGCGGGTTACGAAGTCATTGCAACGGCGTCGCCCAAGAACTTCGAATACCTCAAGAGTCTGGGCGCCAAAGAGGTCTTTGACTACCGAAGCCCGACTGTTGTGCAGGACATCATCAGTACATACAAGAACCGCAAATCTGCTGGCGCAATTGCTGTCGGTGCCGGCTCAATGGTTCCTTGTGTAGACGTTGTGTCGGCTGTCAAAGGGCGAAAATTCGTTGCCCAGGCTAGCGTTGCGGGGCCAGGAAGGCCACCGTCTAGCGCAAAAGAATTGTTTCCGACTCTTTGGGCGGTCACTTGTGAGTCTGTAATTGTGTTTGTCAAGAGCAAGCTGAATGGGGTTGGGAACAAGTTCATCTGGGGTAGCGACGTGATAGAAAGCGAGGTCGGCGAGGCTGTCTATCGTGACTTTTTACCAGAGGCTTTGGAGCAAGGCAGATATGTCCCTGCTCCCAAGCCTCGAACTATTGGACATGGTTTGGAGCTTGTGCAAGATGGTCTTGATGCCGTTTTGAAAGGCGTCTCTGCCACCAAAGTTGTCATTTCTGTCTAGTTGCAGTATCACATTGAGAAAAGTCATGTTTTATCCATCAAAGACTAAGAACTTATGAATCTGATTCAAGCCTAGACGCATCTCCATTGCGCTCACAGAAAATCGAGGTTGTCTGTCGTTGCTAACTTGAACCCGCTTTCCGTAGACAAGTCCTGGAAACAAGTGCAAGACGCAAAATTTCGACCACAGAGGCCACAATCGTCCCCGAAACCACCCGGCAGATCTAAGAAGGGATCGAATATTGAACCTAGTTTCATGTCCTCTTGCCCATTTGGATCTTTGTTCTCGCTGGTGAAAGACGCAGGCCTGTGATCAAAACTTTCTGGGGACTTTTGGTCCCCCAAGGGAACCATCCCAGCAGATGTCGTTCGAGGTGTTCGGCTGTTTTCTATCGATGACTGCTCCTTCGCATTGCTCAGTTGATAACCAAGGCTCCTAGGGAGCGCAAAGCTCAGATCACCAATAACAACACCTCTCAACTCAGTCATCTCTCGAGCGAGTGCAACCTGACGCCGTGGGATCGCGACTGCCGGGCTTATCAACACGTCTCTGCAGAGCTGTAGAGTGTTATGAATGAATGACTGATACAGCCCCCACAGAATGCGTCCGAGACCTTCTGGTGAGATTCTGGTCGTATCGAGGACCATTCCGGACGATACCGTTTGCAAAGCAGAAGCGCACTCCTGAGCATTTCCCTCGAAAGCCTCTCTAACCTCATCGATCTCAATAATCGGCTCGAAGTCTATCGGATAAAACACAGTGAGCTTGATGTGAGTGGTGTTACTGGGAAGTTCTGTTAGGGAAATCAATTTACCTTCGGACTTCGCATCATGATCACCGGGGAAAAGGGTCAGCCATAGCGCATCCCAGGTGTTGACGCCGACTTTTGATCTTCGATCTCGTAGCTTGTTGACCACTTCCGCCGTGACGCCATCTTCAGGGTCGTCTACGGTGTCTTGGTTGCTTGTTGCATCGCGCAGTGGACAGATCTGGTCGGGCGGGACACGCAAATGAGCATCGTGGGCCGTCAGTGTGTCAAACGACTCCTGACAGCGGCTGCAGATGTAGACCTTTCCTCGGCGTGGAGTTTGGCGCTTGTGGTGTGTAATGACGTGACGCCTTCGGAATATCAGTTCCATTGTCTTTGGATCTTACTGCATAAGATAGGTACGCGATGGATGTCGCAACTTACTTGACCAGGCTGATGTTGGGGAACGACTGTGTAGCACAATTGAAGTGCTTCCGGATGTTGTATCTTACGGGATTGCGCTTGCGATAAGGACAGCTGATCCGGGTAGCTCCTTTGGATCTCTTGGAGTCATGCGTAGCTCCGTCAGTCCACTTTCTACCTCTTCTCCCGCCGTCGTTGTGAGAATCCGAGTCCTCCCCATCATCTGAATCTTCACCTTGCCGGAGAGCACTATTCTCCCTTTTTCTGGAGGACTGCGACGCCGGAAAAGACCCTGTTCTGCTTTCTGATATGTGGCGCGGCTCGCCGTCATTATCTCTCATATCCTGCGTGTGAGTATCCCATCCCTCACTATAGTCGCATTCCGACTCCTCACTGACAAGGATGGACAATTCGTCGAGACATCGCCGCACACTCTCCCAGGCTTCTTGAGGACTCGAAACCTCATTCATTGATGATCCGAAGGCATTGGATAGAATCATACCGCACATTTCGTCCGTCAAACTGTTCATCTCTTGAGACAACGAACCAGAAGATGATGAAGTCATTGTCGAGCGTATGGTTCGCGCGTCCACGTCCATCGTCGAGTGAGTTGAAGATCTAAGACAAGTCAGTCAGATACGCGAGTCGGTAAAAGTGCGCCTTCTTACTGACCGAATGAACGCCATCTTCTCGGAGATTTGACTCGTGTCATCGGCCGATGATTGGCTGTCCGCTTTTGCAAATACTTTTCCTGAGAAAGCTGCAATTGCGGCGTCATCCCGCGTGAACTTTGTTCCCAACGCAGGCTTCGATCCAAATTCAACACTCTCTATATGTGGCAGACCCCATTCATCAATCGGATTGACCATCAATGTCAAATCATCGCTGAGACTCGATAGTAGCGCAGAGCAGCTCTCGAAATCGGCGTAGTGGTCAATCTCCGCTTCAGGATGTGTACGACAGTATTCCAGAATTGTGAGTGCGTTGTGGCCCTGAAGGTTTGTGACTTTCACTCTGGAGCCAGCTCTTATCAAAGTGTTCATCGCAGCTCTTCGACCACACCGGGCAGCGACCAGAAATGCAGTTTCTCCCCTTCTGTTGCGTGCCTCAAGTCGTGCGCCAGCATCAATGAGAAATTGCAGTATGGCGTTATCGTGTAAGTCGTCCGCATCTTCGGGAACGAAAGCAACAAAATCCATAAGAACTGTGTTGCCGAAAGAGTTGTATGAATTAACGTCGACACCGACTTCTATCAAGTCTGAAACGTAGGTTTTGGCTTTACTCAAAGTAGCTTTGACCAAGTCTCCACGGCGATCATTTACCGCTTGGTGAATCCATGTGCGCGTTCTCGAGGATGGCAAGATTTCGGGGACGCCACTAGACAGATATTTCAATCTGGCATATGTCGATGCGGCTACGCTATGCAGCCCATTCCGTGTGTAGTGATCCTCTCCCTGTGGGTCTTTGAGTGTTCGACGGAAGAACTTGTTGAGGCTGTGATCGTAATCGCTCACAGCTGCAAGGAATGCTTGGGGGGTTGGCGCAGCTGCGTCCAGGCGCCAGATTGCATCGGCACCAATAGAAGCAAACGAGGCTTCGAAGGAATGTGTGATGTTGTCCAAATCGCTGCCTATGCTTGGTCCTGAATCCATGAACTCTTGTGGCTTCAGGCCGAAAGCGTCTCGTCTGGTAAGCATGCCTGAATCAAACACTCCTCGTATTTTCAAAAGTGTAGCATGGTCATTGATCTTCTTGCAAATGAGATGCGCAATGTTCTGACC